TTTTGCCAAAATAGTTCTGTCCCTTAGGATGTACCTACTATGCTAAAATGGATTGAAAATGAGAATGGATAAAATTTAAGAGCTTGAAAATACCTTGGACGGGGGTACAGACTTACCTGTAACTCACTATGCAGCCCAGGCTGGCCTGTAACTCGCAGAGATCCTCCTGCCTCCTGCCACAAGGCCCAGCTTTAAGATACCAGTTTTTAAAATTAGGCTAAACATTCCCATTGTCCTCTAAATTCAGACTTTTAAAAAAATCACTTAATACTCAGTTAATTCTTCTTCGTTAAAACAAATAATTTATTGAATCCTAATTTTAAGGACACATGCATCCCCTGGTTCTGTATTTTTTTGTCATGCCTCTCTACTAAGAATACTCTAAGTATTCTTAGTATTACATGCCCACTAAGAATACTCTTCAGATTCAGTACTGAATTTTTCCCTTCTCCCAGAGGCACGAAAAAGGCACAGGCTGTCCTAGGTAAACCACGTCTATTTTCTCTCCACACCCTTACTCTATTTGATGTTACTTCACAGTGCTCTGAAAAAAATCAAAAAGGTGTTGCAAAGCTATGTTAAAGGTAAGGAGAAAAACCTTAGGTCTTTACATTTTAAAAAGTATTGCTTTTATTTACTGCAGTAAAAATACTTTTCATAAGGCATACACCCAAGTAACACAAGCTAGATATACACAGAAACTCAGCAAAGATATTAAAACTGAAGGCAAAGAGCATTACTCCAGGTAAAGGTAACAATTCAAACTAAAGGGCCAGCCCTAAGAGAACAAAAGATAAATCTAGCCAGTTTCCACCCAGCCAAGTAACTGCCCAAGGGAAGAAAATATTATTACCTTCACACAGGACCTAAAAGGAAGACACACATGGATCAATCATTTCATGTCTTGCACACCTAATTTAGGTGTTAACTAACATCCTTGTCTAGAAAGCTTTACCAAGGGTGGGCGGTGGGGGTGCGGGCGATGTGGAATGAGGGGTAGGTAGGTATAGATCTTGCACTAGTAAATGATACCTCAATTTTTAAAAAAAAAAAAAAGTGTACTCTAGCTGGGTGTGATACACACAAGTAATCCTAGCACTTGGGGGGCGGAAGCAGAAGGCAGGAGGATTTCCACGTTTCAGGCCAGTCTGGGCTACACAGCAGGACTCTGTCTCAAAAAAACAAAAGAAAAAAATAAGAGTACCCTAATGTTCATAAATTATTGAACCTAAATCACTGGATTTAAAATTCAAGTCTTAAAGAACTAATCAGAATGTGTGATTAAAATTAGGCATGGTGGTGCACACCCATAATTCCAGCACCAGGAGGCTGAGGCAGGAGGATTATTGAGAGTTTGAGACCAGCTTGGGCTACAAAGTGAGCTCAAGGCCAGCCTGAAGTATATAGTGAGACCTTGTCTCAAAAAGAAAAAAAAAAAAATAGTGTGATAAAACACTAGACACCAATTTCTTCTTTGCTTTTTCTTGTTATAATTTTAAAATTGCTAAGCATGATGGCACACACCTATAATCCCAGCACTTGGCAGGCTGAGGTAGGAGGATCACTGTGAGTTTGACGTCAACCTGGGCTACACAGTGACTCCAAGGCCAGCCTGAACTACACAGCAAGACCCTGTCTCAGAACTACCCTCCTACCGCCAAAAACATTTTAAAATTGCTTTCCCACTAATACATACATTCAATTATGTGGAAGAATATTTCCCATCTAAAGATAAATGAAAATAAATAAATAAATAAAGATAAATGAAGGGAAATTATTCCTCTGTTCCTATCTATGATTTGAGAGAAGCCCTGTACCTAGCTGCTCCTGGATATATTCAGTAGTCTTCTGGACAGGTGTTTGGTCTCCTGTGAGACAACGAATACCATATAGTCTGGAGCAAGTGGCTCAACAGCCAAGCTCTCGGGCCCAGCTTTTTTTTACTGCCTGTGCATCTTCTGGAAAGTGAACTTTATTTTCTAAGCCCAAATTTTCCATCTGAAAAGCAGAAAAAATTCTTTTCCTACTAAAATAAGAGAAACCAGGCATGGTGCTACAGGCAGTGTTCCTAGCTACTCAGGAAGTTAAGGCAGGAGGATTCCAAGTTTGAAGCCATTCTGGCCAATACTGTGGGATCCTGTCTTAAAATCAAATTTCAAAGGGTTGGGGATATAGCTCAGTCAGTGGTAGAGTGTTTGCCTCTTAGGTGTGAGGCCCTGGGTTCACTCCCCAATACCATAAAAAAAAAAAAAAAAAAGAGAATAAGAATTAAACCTTCTCTGGGCCAGGCATGGTGGTACATGCTTATGATCCCAGCACTCAAGAGCCTGAGGCAGGAGGATCTCCTTAAGTTTAAGGCCAGCCTGAACTACACAGCAAGACCATCTCAAAAAAAA